CCCCCCCCCCCCCCCGCCAAAAAAAAATTGGGGCGGGGGCGCGGGGGCAGCCGTGTTGGCTCGAAGCCACAGATGGGGAAAAAACAATTAGGACAATTGCACTTTAAAATCCACCCCCACAGGTACAGTACAGGAGCGTTCCTCTGTGCCACGCATGAAAAGCTTATCCTCCTCCCTTGACCTACTCGCGAGCAAGGCCTCCCAGGATCCGGCTGCAAAGGGTCCTCCTCCGGCCTGCTGCAGATCTGCAACCACCTCCGCCCGGTCCTCCTTCGCCTTGCAAAAGCAACCCCCCCTTCCCCCCCTCTCCTGCCTCCTCCCCCCTCCTGGACCCGGCCCGTCTAGCGAGCAGCTCAGTTGCTTTAACCCTCTCGGTGCTGCAGAGTCCAATGGAGAAAGTGCCGGCTGTCCTTTGCAGACCGGGGGGTCCGGACGGCAGCGTCCGCCCTGAGATGCTGCCGCTCAGTGGGGCTGCTCTGGAGTAACGGGGTCGCACTCTCCGGCGAGAAAAGAAGACGAAGATGAAGTTGGAGTGACAAATGTCACAGCAAAGGTCCGCATTATGTCAGCTTTTCTCATATTGAGAGCTCTGCTATGCCGCTGTTGAATTTCCCCCCCAAAAAAACTCCCCCTTCTCCTAAATTCTGCTTCCTTTGAAAGATTGGGCAATAGCTTTGTAAGTTATGTGGACAGTGGACATAATTGCCTAGAATTATGAAAATCTATAGGATTTATGTTTAATTTCCCCTCCCGTTCCCAGCATATTAAAACATTTTTCAAGGCAGATCATTTGGAGTGTGCGTGTGTGCACATGTTATAAAGACAATTACCATGTTAATAAACTATTCAATTTGAAATCCCTTTTTTTGGTATCTTAATTGCTTTTGAATAATGTTTCTATCCAGATGTAACACCACTGCATTTAGCTTTTAACCTGCCAAGTAATCTGAGCCATCAATTTACTTGTGCTTTTCTAAATCCCCCTCCCCCAGTTCATCCCTTTGTGGACACCCCCCCCCCCCGCGC